TTAATAATAAGACTGATGGGCAGCACAGTGCACGATCACCTCACAGCAAGAAGGTATCTGGTTCGAGTCTCAGCTGGGTCAGTTGGTGTTTCTATGTGGAGTTTGCATGTTCTCCCCGTGTTGGTGTGGGTTTCCTCCGGGTGCTCCGGTTACAGTCAAAACACATGCGCTATAGGGGAACTGATCAACTACACTGGCCGTAGTGTATGAGTGTGAATGAGTGTGTATGAGTATTTCCCAGTACTGGGTTGCAGCTGGAAGGGTGTCTGCCGTGTAAAACATGCTGTAATAGTTGGTGGTTCATTCTTCTGTGGCGACCCCTGATTAATAAAGGGACTGAGCTGAATAAATGAATAAGCATGATTGTTTTGCTGAAGGATGCAGCAGTAGTTGTGTGCTGCTGGAGTGTGTGTTGAAGATCTGCTGTAGACTACAGTATCAGTGGACGACAGAAGCTCTAATCAGCACTGTGTGTGTGTGTGTGTGTGTGCGTGTTATGGGTGGATACTCAGCTCACAGACATCACACACGCCTCCTTTAGCATGTAGAACAGAATAGAATATCTCTATTCTAACTCTATTCTATTCTAGAGTGACACCAGTGAGGAAGTGTGCTGGTTTCCGTTGTGAACACACACACACACACACACACACACTCTGACTGAATGAACATGTGAAGGAAGTCCCGTATTGATGATCAAATATTACATCTAACCTATAAAGCTTTAAATAATCGAGCTCCTGTTTCGCTTCAATCCAACCCGCTCTTCAAGATCTCCAAACTCAGGGCTTCTGAATAGCAGAGTCCACTAAAGGAGGTCGAGCCGTCTCATTTATGGCTCCTAATCTCTCTGGAATAGCCTTCCTGATCATGTCCGAGGCTCAGACACACTCTCTCAGCTCAACACCAGACTAATGACCCATCTTTAATCAAGCAACACAATATTGGCTGTTTTCTCTAAAAGGGGGAGGGGCTACTCTATGCCCCGCCCTCTCTTCATGTTGAAAGCATCCAATAAAAAAGCCCTGGGTGGGAACTTTAATATGCACTGGAGAGATCTGAAGAACACTTCTTTATCAAAGGGAAATGCTAATGAGTGTGTGTGTGTGTGTCTGGTCATGATGTGTGGCATTATCCTCATGTTCACAGGTGTGTGTGTGTGTGTGTGTGTGTGGTAAACATCAGTGAATGAGCACAACAGTGATCTGCTGTCGGTGACACATGAATAAAGCATCAGTGTGACAGCGTTCAGGAGAGCTGCAGTGTTTCTGACACATCAACAGACACTCTCTATTCATGCACACACACACACACACACACACACACACACACACACACACACACACACACACACATATCAGTGACAACAAGCTTTAGCTGTGTGTCTGTGTAATCAGAAAAAAACAGAACAGGTGTGTGTCAGGTGCATGACAGAATTTGCAGTCCATTTCGTGGCAGATTTGTAGTTCCCCAAAGATCAATCGCGAATGTAACAATTTTTACATATTAATTTAGGCTTTTTTGCTATTTAATTAATCTCGATAGAAAGTTTCAAAAGTTTTTTCACACTATAAAATGTCCTGAAAGACAATGCAATTGAAGGGATTGTTTACTCCAAAATATATTTTTGATAGTTTCTTATGTTGAATAGACAAAAAAAAAATGTATTGTGAAAAATGTTGGTAACCAGATTGTTGATGATAGTAACTGAATTCCTTAGTAGGAATAAAAAAACTCAATGGGGTCCAGAAATGAGGAGGGTGAGTAAAAGATACAAAAATATGTTTTTAGTTGACTATC